TCCTCCACACCAGGATTACCAGCTAGACTGGGGCAGGCAATTATTTCAGGTGGAGGGCCACTTACCCAGTTTTGGCCAGCTGTTGGGCCACATGGGAAGCCCTGCTCCTTGACAGGTGCCCCGCCCCCTGAGAGGTGCCCCGCCCCATGGTCACCATCTTGGGACCATTGTCCCAGTGTCTTGGGACCAATATCCCAGGGCCAGTACCAGTGGGGCCCAAAGCAGGGTACAGGCTGGCAGGGGTCTGCGGAGCCAGGCTGGGCTGCACCAGCAGGGAGTAGGGGGAGCTGGCCCAGCTCCATAGAGCCCCTGCCAGCTGGGACCCTGCACTCCTGCCACCCTGCTCTGGGCCCCACTGGCGCTGGCCCTGGGACACCGGTGCAGGCCTCATGCTCCTGCTCACGCCCAGTGCCCCCCAGCCCCACGGTACAGGTGGGGGGCAGCAACCAGCCCCAACCACCTGCTTGCTGGTGGTATGGAGCGCAGGGGAAAAGTGGCCCCTCGCCCGCCCCATGGCCAGCACTCCCTGCTGCAGCCATTCGCAGCCCATGCGGGGCTGTCCTGAGCAGGCATGTTGAACCTCATGAGATTTCTTCTTCAGTCCTCCAATTTGCCTAGGTCGCTCTGAATCCTAGCCCTACCCTCATTCCTGTTACCTTGTGCCTGATCTTACAAAATGCCCCTTGTTCAGAGATGTTGAGGATGCAGCTACTGCTTTTTATTTGTTACATGGAAAGTGAAGGATCTTATGTTTCCCTGTTGGGATTATTAACTAGGACATGCATGTATTTTTTTTTGCTCTGCTGAGTCATCTGTTGAGGGTATAATGATATATGCTATGTAGACTTGAGCATTGGGCCAAATCCTGAAGCTCTTACCTTTGTTATAGAAAAACAAGATAGTCAGGTTTTGTTACTTTGGGATTTTTTGCACATTTTTTCAGCCTGACAGCATCTTTCACTTTATTTATACAGTTTTGAATGTTAATTGTTGGCTCTGTCTATAAATGTTTGGAAGTTCCCGCTCCTGCAGCTAGCCCTCCATGAACTCAATTTTAGGTTCTGAATGTAAATTATTTGTAGGATTGGGCCTGAAAAAGATGATAATTTATGAATATTTTAACCATTCCCTGTGTATTCTAGGATATGGCAAAGCTGTGTGTGATGTCGCCAATGCTGTGCAATTTCTGTGCCTTTCAGCAGAACCTTTATCAATCTACTGTCTTTGGGGCAGATTCTTTTCTTTTGCTTATTTGAGTAACTCCATTGGCTCTGACCATCTCTGATATAACGAAGGGGAGAGCCCAGCTCTTTACTAATAAACCAGTTTTCAGGATTTCAAACGTAGAGCAACAGCTAAGCCTAAGAAACACATACCTGTGTTTCTACAAACTTCTGGTGGGTTGATATTTCACAATGCTCAGTATGTTTTCTTATTGATGTTTCAAAACATTTTCAGAAGAGGAGATAAAAATAATTAGATTGTCTCTGGTATATCACTGATTCAGCCAGGAGACAGAGTTCTTTGGTTGAATGGTCTGTCTTAATAATTATGGCTAGGTATACCACCCATCTCCCATAATTATTTTATTTTAAAAAGAAGCAAGAAATATTTTACTTTTGAAAAGTTCCTTTGAGTAGAAGTAAAACAAATTATGGAAACTTTTTTTCAGGGTTACTTCTAAGATTGTTTATGTAAAATGGGGGAATATACTTAACTTTCACTTGAACAAATAATTTGAAAATCAACGTATAAGCTACTGTTAACATTTTTATCTCAGATGTAGTTCAAAGTATTTAAATGGTTTTGGTGCTCATGTGGGAATGAAAATTAGCTTTTGGCATGGCTGACTCTAATTGAAATCAGTTTGTGGTTTTTAAGTTCCTACCCTGCTTGACAGATGATATCATTTCCTATGCTTTTTCTAATCCCCTCTGTTTGTCTAAGATTGTATAAAACTAGGTTGAACTACACATTTTAAAGCAGCTATACACTTTTTTTCTGACCTACTTAGGATGTTATCCAAAAATCTTCACCAGATAGTTATTTTACATTTGCAAATACTTTCACTTTTTGTTGAGGAATGTTATTACAATTTTTTATGGCTATATTTTAGGCAACAAAGATATATCACAATTATTAGAAACACAGAAAATGTAAGTTCTAGTTTGAACCTTATAGAACTTAAACATTTAAAACATCAGTGTTTTAAATAATGGATTCTTTTGAATCCCTACTCTAAAAGTCTACTAAAATTAGCAGAGTTTATAGAATGGTGGTATGTACTCATGGCAACGAAGTTAAAATGATTTCTGCTTAAAAAGAAAAAAACCCAACAACTTGCATCTCTCTAGTTTGTAAAATGCCAAATGTTTCTGAAGAGCTTGGGCCGCAGCACATTTTCAGTGGTTGATGTACCACCTGCCAGTAATAGGCTGTGGCTGCCTGTGGAGTTTGTATTTCTCAGTCTTTCTGACCATTTCAGACAGATTAGTGTAGGTATCTTGTGCTCCATGACAATCTACTAAAATGCTAATCTGACAGTAATCCTATCCGGGGAGGAGTCTTTCATGTGGTTCCTGTTAAGAAGGAAACCATTTCCTGGCTGCATATTCAGAATGTCTGCCTCAATTGGACTCCGTTGTCAGACAGTGGGAACTTTGATGAAAATTAAATCGTGAAAGCTATCCACTCTTATACAGATGAAGAGCATAATATTTTAAGTGGTTCCTGACATTAATTTGAATAACATATTTGTCCTTATTATCAGGAAAGTTCAATGCAGGCTTTTTGTGCTTTCCTGGTAGAAGATAGATTGTATGTTAACCACTATTAACTGGCTTAGGTTCAAGTGAAGAGGAGCATGAAGTGCACCTCCCCATTTTCTGTCATTTGCAGAGAAGCTTTCCCTCTTTAGAGCCTTGGGTTGTGCACTGCTGGCCTAGTAGCAACTACCAGCACCTCTCCCTTATCCCTTCCTGTTCTGCATTTGTTAGCAGGATCGGGGGGTTCATTGGCTTCCATATCCCCATCTTTGTTTATTGCTCTGATGCTGAAATCTTAGTGCTGCTTGGTGGTGTCTGCCAAAAGATCTGTACTTTTTCCTTTTCTGCCAGCCTGTTTTTGCTTTGGTGAACTAAGGATCATATCCTGTAGCCCTTACTCCCATGCGAAATACCACTAACTTCAGTGACCAGGGACTGTAGGCTTGCCTCCCATTTAGTTTCTGCCAATACTCTGAATTCCTTAATATTATAAATTATATTGTTTTGGCTTCTACTTAGTAACTACCAGAGACGTAACCTTAAGCTGCATGTACTAAGTACCCCCCCATTTTTAATGTTTTCCTAGATACTCAGCACTTCCTAGAATCAGTCCCTTAAATAACGATTGACGGTTATTTAACTATTCCTGATAGTTTTGTCAAATTATGAAAAAATACTCTTTTCATAATTACAGTACAACACTGTAACATCCGGTGTATGAATGGAGGTACCTGCAGTGATGACCATTGTCTCTGTCAGAAGGGATACACAGGAACACACTGTGGACAGCGTAAGTAACCTAAGTGTACATATGCATACAACAAATGCAAAGTTACATGATAGTGAAACATATAGATCAGTCATAATTTACCTGTAAATCTCAGTCGCGCTGTATTTGTTCTTGGTATACTGCAATGGAATTTTACAGGAAGCATGTGACCTTGAAATGAGTGTCAGGTCAATTCTTCCTAAGCAGAACTATTAAAATAAACATCAAGTGAATTCATAATAATTGGACATAGTTCTTACCCTAGCAAAATTCCCATTGACTTGCAGGAGTTGAACTGGAGCAGCAGACCCTAGCTTTCAATTTTAAATAAAGAGTTTCTTAATTTTTTTGAATGCAGTAACTTTATTTAAATTTAGATTTAAAAAAAATACTGAGTTATGAAGGGTACCTAACGAACATTTGTTCTTTCTGGTATTATCTTGTTATGGTTACAGACAAATCTGTTTTCCTTGACCAATATATTTTACATTGCATTATATTATCCTGCCTTAGTTGTATTCAGGCTGGAGCTATGCCAAGCAATGTGAATAGTTGATAGGGCCTTTACACTTATCAGAACAGCACTTACAATTATAGTTGATTTCAGCAGCTGTATGAGATCTCCCTAATGTACAGTAAAGAGTTCTCATCTCTTGCAGCCAAGATATTTGCCAGGTTTATGTTGATTCTAAATCCTGTCCTCCATATAAACCCAAATCTCCACCACTATAAAAGCAATAAACACTGCAGTGATGGGGAGATGAAGTGATCTCTTGTTTGTCTCCACCACCATTCCAGAATCTGCTGCTGAGGGGTACTGAAACAGGTGCTATTGTGTCTTTTTCTTCAGGGCTACAACATTGCTAGTAAACTGAAATGAGAATTCAGAGATCCACTCTGTCAAGTGGGCACCTTGGCATGATCTCTTTACTGCCCCAGTGGTGCATGTGCAGTGTAAACACTTGATTAGTTTGACTAACTGAAATAGCTGCTTGTTTAAGCGGGCAGCGGGGCGCCTGTACTGATGCCCCAGCCCAGGTCAAGAGCTGCTGGGAGGAAGGCGGAAGACAGGGGGTGCCATGTGCAGAGACGTGCACTGGCCCCAGGCAGCCTGCAGAGCAGCTCCAGCAGTTAAGTGGAGGAGAGGAGGATTGAGGCCCCTGTAGGGAGGGAGCTGGGCAAGGCTGGGGCTGCTGCAGAGCCCCAGCAGGTAGCAGGACGGGGCCGCGGGTGGCTCGTCCAAGGGAAGGGGAGGGCTGGCTCCCCACTGCCATGTGCACTGTGGGGGAGCTGGGGCATGTTTCCACCCTTTCATTCCCCCATACTGCTCCTGGACAACCCTCTGGGCTCTGATTGTCCCCATGACCTGGCCCAGCCAGGGCTCTGTTCACTGTGAATGGGGCCCTGGCTGGGCCAGGTCGTGGGACAGTTGGAGCCCAGCGGCTCCTCCAGGGGCATGGCTCCAGGCAGCCAAGGGCTGCTCATGACCTCCCGATCTTTGCACGGGGCACAGGCGAGCTACATCCGCGAGCTGTGCTCTGCGCCTCACTGCTGCCTTCGAAAGCAGCGAGACTGGCATGGTGCTGTGCCGCACTGCTTTCAAAGGCAGCAGTGAGGCATGGAGCAAGCAGAGCTCAGCTTGCAGCTGTAGCACACCCGTGCCCTGTGCAAAGATCGGGGGGTCACGGGTCCCCCTTGGCTGTCCAGCACCACGCCTCTGGAGGAGCCACCAGGTTCTTCCCGGGGACGATGTGCAGAGGGCAACGGGGATCCCCCAGGCTCCATCCCTCTGGCCCAGCAGTGCAGCTGAGGCTAGCCCTGTTCTGGATCCCTCTCGGGCAGTGCAGGGCCAGGGCCAGTGCAGGGTGGTGAATTTACAGGTGCTGCCAGCACCGAGCGAGGGGCACAGTGGCTCCCAGCCCCAATCCTGGGCCCGGCTCTGCTCTGATCCCTGCCCAGTCCCAGCCCCATTCCCCTCCATGGTCCTTCCCCTTCCCCCCATAGACTTTCCGGGAGGGAGTGCGCACATGCGCACACACGTTCTTTCAGCCCCTCCTCCCCCATTTATTTTCTTCCTCCACCTATGCCGCCTGCTCCACCTGTCTCTGAGTTCACCAGCTGCACCTGGGTGAAACTTTGTTTCATTGTTTGGATTGAAAATTTAAGTTTATGTATTCTGACCACCTTATCTAACACCAGGAAACCTATAAACATATCCTATTTCTGATAGGCCTAAGGAGCTGATTAGTCTGTTAGCTTGTTTCTGGTCTATGCAAAGAAATGGAAAGAGCTTTGAGGATCTGAAAGAGATGTGTTTGCTTAGCCCCTATATCTATGGAGTCTACTACTTAGTTGTTACTTAGATTAATGGAAAATGTTGGTTTGAAATTATGGTACACTCTGTTGATGGTAGAGAGACTAGCACTAGAAGCCTGGAAAAGTTCTGATTGCTCTTGTGTTTGTGAAATATACCCTGTGGAAGATTAATATGTTTTACTTGATAAGAGTGTGAGATAGTGTAAAAGCTGCAATAGATAATGCAGCTGAAGTGGAACACACAATAACCTGTATCATTAGATTTGCAACTTTAACTAAGTTTCCTGAGCTCTGAGAAGTTGTAGCTGTATATCTATTATGAAAGTGATTTTAAAATGATTTAATTAAGATAATTTTTTTCTTCTTCGCTGCAGCTGTCTGTGAAAGTGGGTGTCTTAATGGTGGGAGATGCGTGGCTCCAAATCGATGTGCTTGTACATATGGCTTTACTGGACCTCAGTGCGAAAGAGGTATGTGCTCTAATACCACCTAAAATTAAAGATCATGAACAGTGATTTATATGTTTGATCCTAACAAAATGAATTTAATTCTTATTCAGTATAAGTAGGAAACTGAAAATACTGATGCTGTGATAGCTTTTAAGGACTAGTATTTTACTTTTGACTGTAAATGATGTGGGCAAAATGTAAATAAGGGGTTTTTTTCTTTCTTGTTTGCAGTTCCCAAAATTTTCAGTTAAAGGAAAATCTGACCAAAAGAACTAGGAAGAACTTGTGAATTTATGCAAATGTATGGAATAAGACTACTGTAACTGCCATAAATGGAATATATGATGGTGGATAGCCTAATGATAGGTGGAATCTTCACATTTTCATGTGGAAATAACAATTCAGTCTTGCTTCTGCATGTGGTCAATAGCATTTTAAGCATCAGTCCTGCGGTCCTATTATAGAGTTTTTGCAAGTCTTATTTTCTTATCTTGTGGCAAACCACCTTATTCTATCAGTACTGGAGAGGCTGTAGTAGAGTGTCACATTTACCCTACACAGAAGTTGGTCTTTTTTTCTGTTACTCTAAAGTCTAAAAACAAATATTCAGTAGCAAATACAGCAATATTTGAGGGGTTTTTTTTCATTCAGGGGTAGGAATCAAGTTTAAAGGCATATGAAACCAATTAAGGCAATTGTTTCATTTCATTTCTGTTGCTTGTGAAAACACAGAGATGTAAAAGTTGGCAAATAAAAATATCAATAAATATTTTTACACAAACGTTAGTTCAGTGTTTAAATTATAAGAAAAGTTCTGTTGTTTTGTTTTTATGGCAGTCAGACTGATATATTTAATTACCAATGATATGCAATATCCTATATCTCTCTCTCTCATGTTTTATTTTTGCAAGGTTTAGTCAGTTGTTCTCCGCATCCTGTGGGAATGTATTGCTATTGATTTGTCACTTTTTGTTTAAGAGTATCCATAGCAATAAGCACAGCTGTTTCCAGATGAAAGTACGGTCATACCAACTGCCTAACTGCTGCTATACTGTATTGTTTCAAGAAAATTTAATCTATTTAATGGCTTGCTGGAGAAGGATGACAGAAATCATTGTTTAAATAGTCATCGTGTTAAATTATAGTCTTAAAATAACATGCATTTTAATTTGATTAACATTCTGATTGATTTCCCGTTTTTTTGAAAATTCGTCTAGATCACGTAGATCATTAAAACGTATTTTATTTTCTATAAAGCTAAATTCTATATAGATCACATGACTCACTTTGGGCTTGATTCTGGCCAAAAGTCTTAATGACTGTAGTGGGGTGTTGCAAGTGCTAAATATCTCCAGGCTTGGGCCTTCACTCATTACTGGCTCTCCTAGACGGACAGAAGAGGTGGTTACTTAGAACAGCCAATTATTAGTGACAGTAAAGCATTTGACTATTTTGCTCTCAGTTTGGCCACAAAGTGGGAAGAAGCAGGTGTTTCCCAGTATACTTGAGGCAGAGAAAACCTCTACACTGAGCTAAGACTTGCATGTTGTTTTGTTTTTGGTTTGTTCAAAGCTGACAGCTGAAATACTGCTAGTCCGGCAGGTAGTTCTATTCTGAATTCCACCTTTAACCATCTGTCCTTTTCCCAAACGCGCAACAATACATGAGTGTACCACATGATGTATGAATGTATAGACTAAAGAAGGGTAGCCTTTCTTTAAATTATTCTTTCCTATATCTTCTAGCTCCTCAGCATCTTCAATACTATAGACTCCATAGACTTTTGTACAAACACATTGCCTTCTTAATGATATGTAATCTGCAACACTGTGTTTGCCATCACTATTCTTGGCCATTACAACCGTTGTTCATATTTTCAAGCACTATTGGGTGCATGCTGTATACACAAGTTCTGAGTTTGTACTTGTGAATTCATCAGTTCATACAGTGGTTCATAAACAGGGCTTATATAGTCCTTGGATTGCTTGAATGTATATTAACAACCTTGTGGTGGTGGGACATTGACTATGGGTGAGTCTACATGTGCAGTTAAACGTGACTAAAATTCATGTGCATTAAGGAATTTTTGACAGGTGTCTACATGTGCAGGGACTTGGCATTAAAGTTAGTGCCAAGTCTGCAGCCCTGCCGTGTACCCCTAGTGGCTGAGCAGACCTGGCATTAAAGTTAGTGCTAGGTCATGTCTACATGTGTGCTAATGTGCTTTAACTAATCATGCTTAAATTTGATACCTGCATGTGTAGATGTGCACCCATAATGTGTATTAAATTAGGCAAATGTGCATTAACATGCCTCGTGTAAATGTGGCCTGTGTTCTCATCCCCCTGATTTATCTGTGACAGGTTAAGGTGTTCTTGGTGTTTTGGGGCAATGGCTTGTAGCTGTGTGATGACTGTTTGTGTAGTTTTTAGGAATAAGTTAGACAACCACTTTTATGGGATAATTTAGATAGGAATAATCCTGTCTTGAGCAGGAGGTTGAGCCGAATGGTCTCCTGAGGTACCTGCCAGCCCTACTTTTCTATAACTATAATTATATGTTCTATTCAAGCACAAGTGAGGCAGAGAAGAGAACAAGGGATTGAAAAGGTCTCAAGTATCTCAGATTAAAGGCACCTAAATTGTAAGCAAGTAAAACAAGTCTTATGACTTGTATTGTTTGCAGAGGATATTGAGTATGACCATACCAGAATTATTTATTCTGAGTTGCCAACAAAAGCAGTTTGTTTTGGGTATACTGAGGAGCTGCATATTGCCGGACCTGAGGAAGGTGACGGCAAAGGTAGCCACTTTTATGTTCACTTATCCTGGGGCCAGTTTAAGCCCCAGCATAAGTTGGAACAGCCTTGGGCTCAAATTTGTAACTATCTGAAACAACCAGTGTGCCATTACATGAGCAGGGAATAGTTGGAGCCCCATTTTCTCAGCTAATGGTCCCTTTATCAGGGAGGGCTGGAAAGGGCTGACACTGGAATCCTGGGTGGGTGACTGCCATATTCAAGACAGCTTGGGCCAGTGGAGACCAGAGAAAAGTCACTTCAAGCAGGGGCCAGAATTGGTGGTTTATACATGTGCTCTGGGAGTGTAGGGAGGGGAGGGTGCTTTAATTAATTAAAGAGCCCAGCACATCATATGAATTAGTGTCTGTGTGCTGAAAAATGGCAGCTGGGATGCTTTAACTAAAGCTCGTTGAAAAAGCTTCGGTTAAAGCACCTCTGCTGCCATTTTTCAGCATGGGGATACTGATACATGTGACTGGGGAGTCTGCTGGAGCTGGTAATTACAGCACGTTGGAGCAGCCTCACTGCACATGTATAGGCACCCAATCTAGCCAACTGGCTTCAATCTATATGTTATTTCCATAAAGCATTTTCTGTAGAGCATGTCTTTGATTTCAGTTATCAGTTAAAAAGAAAACAGCGATTAATGAACCATAACATTTCTGTTGATGCTCATTACAATGTTGAGGCCAAATGATGGTCAGAGCTCCAGTGGACCTTTGAAGTTTGGCTTGTTTTGTACATTCAGATTCCCAACACCCTCTGTACCTAACTGAGGTAATATATTCCTGTCTCCAAAAAAAAGGGTGGGGTCTCTGAGTCAAATTATGCCAGAAAACTTTCTTCTGAAGATAAGATTTTGAGCATAAAGTAATGCTGACTAGCTGGAGTAACTTGCAGTGTTCAGCACCCGCACCTGTGCATTCACTAGGGAACTGTCTGGCTGCATATGAGTTTATGCATCTGTTAGCTGAGGAAGAGATCCATTTGCAAAAAAACTAGCATCAGGCACATTATGTGGATGTGTAACCCTCCCAAGAGGACTTCTGATGTATACATGGGTGGATACAATGCAGTGTGTGGATTACAGTGTGATGCCTGGTGTGCTAAGTGGAACTGTATCAATTTTCTTCTGCCAAAACTGACATTTCAAAGAGGTTTTCTTTAAGCAAAAAATCTGAGAATGACGTGGTAAATACCTTCTAAATTACAACCCAATTCTGGTATAAGCAAAATGGGCACAGATTCTTTTTCATTGTTTTAAAACCCCATTTTGGACTTAAACACGGTGGGAAATGGAGCAATATGGTTTTGTGGCATGTGTCATGCACATCACACATGTGTTTGGCTGTGTTTTGACTTTTGAGGTTGTGCCTGCCACAAGCTAACAGGGGTCAAAGTAAATTACTACTACAAATTATATAGTACTTTTCTCTGTAAACATTAACTAATCATTACAGTCAGAAAGTATGGTTGTGGCATGCCTCTTATTCGCGTATATCACATACCAAAGAATGTTGCAATCCCTATTGTTGCAATATATAATGCTTTTGTATAGAGTATTATTGGGCAATCTAATTCACTGTTTGGAAGCATTCTCATAACCTGGTGTGGAAAACAATGAAACAACTCCAGATCGTTGTAGCAAAATTTGTGCCAACTGTTTAGATTAGTGGTTTTCAACTTTTTTAGACTTGAGACACCCTTTTTTTTGGCTTGAGGCACCCCACAGAACATGCTGACTTTTAATTTTTGCTTACTTTTTGACTATGGGAAAATAACAGCAATTCATCTGTTGCAAAGAACTCAGGCCAGAATGCTTTTGACACTGTGGATTCCTATCAGAAATCTCTGTTATTTTTAAAATCATCTTTGTACCTCTAACAGTGCTAATATTGCATGGCATCCTGTGGTACCTGTCAAGCTAGGCTGTGGGTGGTCAGGTCTGGGGGTCATGCAGAGTCAGGAGAAGCAGCCAAGATCTGAGAGGAGTGTGCAGAGTCTACGTGTAGGGAAGCCAGGAGCCATATGATCTGTCTGGGGAATTGAGGCAGAAATCCAAAGGATTGGGCTGAGCGTGGAGTTAGGAGTCTAGCTGGGTCAGATAGCCAGGAGATCAAACCAGGGTCAGGTCAGAGAGCCAAAGTGTCAAGCCGAACCCGGGTCTGTGGGAAAGTCAGTTCAGGTATTGAGGGAATCTGTCAGAGTCAGGAGAGGCACA